TTATGGTGGTGGGAAAGGGACTGAAGACAAGATGCCAGGTCAGGACCAATAATACTGCTGATTCTTTGGATTTTATCAAGAATCTCTAAATATATAGCAAGAGCACCGAACTATATACGACAGCCATATTCGAAGCATGGACGAATGGTAGACTTATAGATATGTGAGCTAGATTCTGGCGAGAAAAATTGTCTAGAACGACACAGTGAACAAACTTTCTTAGCAACTGATCTATCAATGGATTCAATAGAGTTTTTCCATTCATATCAGCCGAGAATGTTTACCGGAAAATGCACAACGATTCACTCTTTTGGAGTTTAGTATCAGTCATGATTATGATGGAAAACAGAAAGGGTTCTCTCGGATACTTACTAGGGAGCAGTTTTATTTAGGAAGTTAAAATTAACAAGCTTTTCTTTACTCCAGTTAACAACAGAATCTAGGTTGTTTTTGAGATCAGCCGCCAGTTTGATCTTATCAAACTGATCAGACTTAGTATCGAGACAGGAGGAAGTGGTCGTGTCAGCAGCATTGATACCAAGTTGAGAGCTGATGACATCAGGAATGTCATTGATGAAAACAAAGAACAAAGTAGGAGCAAGGATGAAGCCCTGCGTGGACATCTTCATTAGTACAAAAAGATCTAGAAGAGTGGCCATTCAAGATGATATTCATTTCACGATTTGATAAAACTGAATTAGATCACTAATTCGTCCGTAGACACTCTACCTTTATTAAATTCTCTATCTAAACACACGTAAATTATTGTTTTTATGTTCCATATCATTTCATGATATGTTCAGTAATGGCTCTCCACAACTTCTTGTTATTTGTTGCTCTAAAAATCTATTGATGCTTTCCCTTATGATACCATGCATTCGCATAAACTCGTTCCTCATTGTTTTCTCCTACTTCATTTTCCTTTTTCCAACGAGTGGTAGATACTCAATGCTGTCTTTCTTCATTATGTGTTAACTATCGCTTTCTTTAAGCATAAATTTAACTGTACATCTTATTTTGCTTAACTTTTCTTTTTTCCTCACATAAAATAACCAGCACCCTGAATTCTCAGCATCCTTCTGTATAACTGTATTTCTGCCATTATGTGTTAACTATCGCTTTCTTTAAGCATAAATTTTACTGTACATCCTATTTTGCCTAACTTTTCTTTTTTCTTCACATAAACTAATCAGCACCCTGAATTCTCAGTATCCTTCTGTAGAACTGTATCTCTATCATTATGTGTTAACTATCGCTTTCTTATTATAAGCATAAATTTTATTGTACATCCGATTTTGCTTAACTTTTCTTTTTTCCTCACATAAACTAACCAGCACCCTGAATTCTCAGCATCCTTCTGTAGAACTGTATCTCTGTCGCTTCTTCATCATCATCGATGGAATTGTCTAGTACCTACTTCCTTATAAGGGTTTGCATGTTATATAACAGTTAAGTATTCTTTGCTCTGGTTTCTAAGCAGGGCCGGTGCAAGGGTCTCATAAACCCCCACCACAGCCACCACCACATCCCACCGAATCTATGATACGTACCCGAATGTATGATATTGATCAGCACTCCGGAATATAAGATACGGGGTTCTCATTCTAATACCATCTCAATTTTCATAAACAGGTCTGCTGCAAGGGTCTCGTGACCCCACCCCCGAATCAATGACACGCACTCGAATCTATGATACCACCCCACACCGAATCTATGATACCACCCCACACCGAATCTATGATATGGGGGCCTCACTCTACTAGATCTCTATTTTCATAAGGTAGTATCCAATTCCAGGGAGAGAATTTCCGAGGTCCGTCACTCAGGTTATTTTGAGCAAGGTCGGAAAACGAGATGCTGGAACAAACTCGATCCTACGTGTCTTACAAGACTGTCTGTAAGCGTGTCTGTCTGATAGGGTTATAATATGTTAAACATCATTTTTCTATTAAGGCCTTTATTTGTATTTTTATGACAGATATGTATTCATGTCATTGTAATAATACGAGACTTTTCAATAAAATACCGATTCGTAATTTTGCTCTCTAATTTCAGTAAATAACCCCCCCCCTAAACCCCAAAGTTATGTATAATATATAAAACAGAGAATGTCTGTATGTCTGTCTATATGATACCGTTTCACTCGAGATCCATCCAAACGATTTTGACCAAATTTTTCAGATACATTGTATAGTGTCAGAGATAGGCTCTTAGTTAAAAAAAAAAATCGGTAATTTTAAAAAAAAAAAAAATTAATAAGTTGTATTATTTTATCTTATAGTAAATATTAGAAACAATGTAGTTTTAATTTTTTTAACCCCAGGTTTCGAGCAAACTGTCTTTCGAGAAAAAAAAATAAGACCTGTTCTATAAATGTAGTCGTTCTTCAATTTTAATTGTTCAGTTAACAACAATAAAGTTGTATTATTTTATCTTATAGTAAATATTAAAAACAATTTTTTTTTTAACCACAGGTTTCGAGCAAACTGCCTTTCGAGAAAAAAAAATAAGACCTGTTCTATAAATGTAGTCGTTCTTTAATTTTAATTGTTCAGTTAACAACAATAAAGTTGTAATTTTATCTTATAGTAAATATTGTAGTTTTATTTTTTTTAACCACAGGTTTCGAGCAAACTGCCTTTTAGAAAAAAAAAATAAGACCTGTTCTATAAAAATCGTTCTTCAAGAAAAGTTAACAACAATAAAGTTGTATTATTTTATCTTATAGTAAATATTAGAAAAAAAGTTTTAAAAAGCAAACTGCCTTTCTAGAAAAAAAAATAAAATAAATGTCGTTCGTTTTAATTTTAATTGTTCAGTTAACAACAATAAAGTTGTATTATTTGTATTATTTTATCTTATAGTAAATGCCTTTAGAAAAAAAAAATGTATTTTTAGTCGTTCTATTTTTTTAACCCCAGGTTTCTTATAGAGCAAACAATGTGCCTTTTTTTAACCCAAAAAAAAAAAAAAAAAATGTTCTATAAATGTAGTCGTTCTTTAATTTTAATTGTTCAGTTAACAACAATAAAGTTGTATTATTTTTTTTCTTATAGTAAATATTAGAAACAATGTAGTTTTATATTTTTTAACCCCAGGTTTCGAGCAAACTGTCTTTCGAGAAAAAAAAAATAACACCTGTTCTATAAATGTAGTCGTTCTTTAATTTTAATTGTTCAGTTAACAACAATAAAGTTGTATTATTTTATCTTATAGTAAATATTAGAAACAATGTAGTTTTATATTTTTTAACCCCAGGTTTCGAGCAAACTGCCTTTCGAGAAAAAAAAAATAACACCTGTTCTATAAATGTAGTCGTTCTTTAATTTTAATTGTTCAGTTAACAACAATAAAGTTGTATTATTTTATCTTATAGTAAATCTTAGAAACAATGTAGTTTTATATTTTTTAACCCCAGGTTTCGAGCAAACTGCCTTTCGAGAAAAAAAAAAATAACACCTGTTCTATAAATGTAGTCGTTCTTTAATTTTAATTGTTCAGTTAACAACAATAAAGTTGTATTATTTTATCTTATAGTAAATATTAGAAACAATGTAGTTTTTTTTTTTTACCAGGTTTCGAGCAAACTGTCTTTCGAGAAAAAAAAATAACACCTGTTCTATAAATGTTTCGTTCTTAAAAATTGTTGTTAACAACAATAAAGTTGTATTATTTTATCTTATAGTAAATAATTTTGTTTTTTTTTTTAACAATAAAGGTTTCAAGCAAAGGTTTGCAAACTTTCGAGAAAAAAAAATAACACCTGTTCTATAAATGTAGTCGTTCTTTTAATTTTAATTGTTCAGTTAACAACAATAAAGTTGTATTATTTTATCTTATAGTAAATATTAGAAACAATGTAGTTTTTTTTTTTTTTTAACCCCAGGTTTCGAGCAAACTGTCTATAAATTTCGAGTTAAAAAAAATAACACCTGTTATATAAATTAGAAACAATGTTCTTTAATTTTTAATTGTTCAGTTAACAACAATAAATTTTGTATTATTTTATCTTATAGTAAATATTAGAAACAATGTAGTTTTTTTTTTTTTTAACCACAGGTTTCGAGCAAACTGCCTTTCGAGAAAAAAAATAAGACCTGTTCTATAAATGTAGTCGTTCTTCAATTTTAATTGTTCAGTTAACAACAATAAAGTTGTATTATTTTATCTTATAGTAAATATTAGAAACAATGTAGTTTTTTTTTTTTTTTTAACCACAGGTTTCGAGCAAACTGCCTTTCTAGAAAAAAAAAATAAGACCTGTTCTATAAATGTAGTCGTTCTTTAATTTTAAACTGTTCAGTTAACAACAATAAAGTTGTATTATTTTATCTTATAGTAAATATTAGAAACAATGTAGTTTTATTTTTTTTAACCACAGGTTTCGAGCAAACTGCCTTTCTAGAAAAAAAAAATAAACCTGTTCTATAAAAATAAGTCGTTCTTTAATTTTAAATGTTCAGTTAACAACAATAAAGTTGTTTATTTTATCTTTTAGAAACAATGTAGTTTTATTTTTTTAACCACAGGTTTCGAGCAAACTGTCTTTCTAGAAAAAA